CACGGGGCCCACGGGAGTCCAGTGACTTCGGGTGATCTGCTAGCTGAAGCTCAGACTCCTTGGCTAGACTCAGGCCCGCTGCTCTGCCCCCCGTACCAGCCTCTTCCTTTGATCACTCTGCCCTCCTTCGCCCCACCCCGTCCCGGGTGGTTTGCTCAGGATGCTTCCATGCTTTTGTTTGTGTGTTCCTTCCTTCGTTTATTCATTACCAGGCACTTGTTGAGCACCTGCTGTGTTCTAGGGGGCGGGGAATCACTGCAATAAGATACTTTCCCAGAGGACGCCTGGGTGGCTCAGTCTGTTAAGTGTCTGCTTTCGGCTCAGGTCATGATCCCAGGGTCCTGGGATCGAGTCCCGCATCGGGCTTCCTCCTCAGCAGGGAGCCTGCTTCTCCCTCTGCCTGCTGCTCCCCCCTGCTTGTGCTCTCTCTCTCTCTCTCTCTGACAAATAAATAAATAAAAACCTTAAAAAAAAAAAAAAAGAGAGATCCTTACTTTCCCAGCCTCACGGAGCTGAGTCTGGAAGGTAAGGCAAGAGGTGGTGACAGACACAGTGGGATTCGTGCTGTAGAGGTTAGGAGCTGGGGCCGGCTGAGTCTGCTGGTGGGTTGGTGAAGGCAGCATTGGAGGACAGGCCAAAGGAGGGGGTGCATGTGAACCGAGCCCTGAGAGATGGTAGGCACAGGGGGAGAGGGCGTGTCCAGCAGAGGAATCAGCTCAGGGACAGGCACAAGGCTGGGAACTGCTCGTTCCCGGAATTGCCAGCTCTGTAGTTCAGTGCTCAGGGAGTACAAGAGGGGCTGTCGGTGGAAGTGGGTGCCAGCCTTGCGAGGGTACACTTTAGGGCGAGGGCAAAAGGAGCTTCTGAAGGGCATTAGGCAGATCAGTGACAACGTGGAGGGACAGATTGGGTCGGGATGTTATTAGAACCTCACATTTCCCTGTCTTCTGTAAATTCAATTCCATCTCTTTGCTAGAAAGTACTCCTTATCCTTTGACTGTCAAGGACCCCTGACATTTCCCTCACTCTGGAGAAGTCTTCCTTCCTTCCCCGCCTCCCAGTCCTGTCCTTAAGGGGACAACAAATGCCCCTTCATCCATCCTTTGCCCCATAGCACTTGTCCCCCACAACCTCCACCCCAGGCCTTATGTGGTGCACTGACCTTGTTGTAGGAGGTCAGCATCTCCATGAGCCCCTCGAAGACAGGAACCTCTGCCTTGGTCTTGGCCATTTTCCCACCCAGCCTGGTGCCTGTGAAGGCTCTGCCCAGGTAATACTAATCAGTGCTCTCGCATGGATTTGCTGATTCCCTACAAGCCCCAGAGGAGTCCCCCCACCTCTCTGGGCCTCAGGTGCATCTTGAGGAGAACAATCTTTGCTCCTGCTTCTACAGGTCTGGAGTAGATCACAGTTGGAGCAAGGCCAGAGATTGCAACAATAATAGACAAAGGGTTCAGCCCACTATGTTCTGAGACCTTTCACTCTTTTTCCTCACAATAATCCCGGAGGTGTAGGTATTGTTAGTTTAACTCGTTTAACAGATGTGGAAACTATGGTACAGGGAGGTGAGTTCCCCCGAGGTTACATGGCTAATATCAGCAAAGCCAGCATCGAACATAGGTGGTGCGGACGCCAGAGCCTATGCTTGGAACCACTGTGCTGTCCGGCAACCTATCTATTCCTGACTTAAAACCACAGAGGACTTCAGCCACTGCTCACGATCTCCATGGCGCACGTGCCACACCCTGACACTCAGGTGTCCGCCCTGGTACCGGATGCTCTGCGTCTTCCTGGTGGCCCACTCCTGGTGGGCTGGAGGTTCCGGGGAGCTCATGCGAGCAGGAGCCTTATAGAAACTTCCATCTCGGGAGTCCTAGCCTGAGTCCTGGACCTGAGAAACCTGCCTCCAGCACCCTGACATCTCCAGCTGTGCCATCTGCCTTGGGCCACATCCAGGTGACTCATCCCAGGGCACTCTTGGGAGAGGAGGAAGCTTGGGAGCCAGGCTTCCTTTTGGCCTGGGCCTAGCATCAGGCCAGATGTTTGCCGAAGCAGGGAGACCTCTCCCCCTGCCCTTTGTGCTGGAGGGAAAGGGGCCCCTGGAACCTTGGCAGTTAGTCGGAGGTGTGGAGAGTAGAAGGTAGGAGGGACATTGGTCAGGATGATGGAGCCAAGTAGATCCAGAAGCTAGGGGTGCCCACTCCCTGCCAGGGGTCAGCAAGTGGAAGGTGGTTTTTCTAGAGAAGAAGTGGTTTTTCTTCCTCTCTCTTCCTCTAGAGAGGAAGACTGGAGAATGTAGGTCCACAGAGGTTCTGGGCAGGTAGGCGGGCAGGTGGAGTAGGAGGGTGGCCCGGCCCCATGTCACCCTATCTGTGTCAGACGCCGGTTCTTGTTAGTCACGCAGAACTGTGAATGTCAGCTGCCACACTCCCAAGGGCAGGTCTGCACAGGACTTCTAGGCATGGCTGGAAGAGGGAACTGAGTTCTGGTCCCGGCCCTGCCACTTGCCGGCTGTGTAGCCAAGGGTGGACCACCCTGCCTCTCGGTTGCTTGAGCTAGGCACCAAGGACATCTGGGAGGCAGTGGGGCCTTGTGGTTGAGAGAGCGCAGGCTTTGGAGTCAGACTGCCCGGGGTTAAAATTCCAGCCACATTTCCTCCTAGTCCCATGACCTTGAGCAAGTAACCCATTCCCAACTAAGTAATAATCATCCTCCCTACCCCCTGTTGTTGTAAAGATTTTAAACAGGACAATACATCCTTTTTGACTCTTAATAACAATGACTTGTCCCTTCCAGTTATAAACTTCAATATATCTTTGCCCTCCACAAGTAAATCTCTCTCGATGAAAAATCCTCAGTCCCTCTCTTGGCCCCCATCATATTACCATTTTGGTATCGTTTTGCTGTTGTCGCCAACATTGTTGTTTAATATAATAGAGTCAGGGAAAGACTCAGAACAGGTGTTTTTTTCTCATCCTCCGGTCTGGTCCAAGAGTTCAAATGCTTTCTCTTAACGGTGGGCAGGTGCTATCTCTGAGCAAAGAGACCACAGGGTATGGCACATGGCTGTGGTTTTGGAGAAGATGCTGTGACTATTCCAGATAAGGTTCTTTTTTAAAGAGTCATTGCTGAAAATCCCCGGGGAGTAGACATTGGCTCCTGCCCCGGGGTCCTGCCAGGGACACCCAGCTGACTCAAGCTCTTGGAGGGGAAGTCTGGTATCAGGTCTCACCTGGCAGGAAGTGAGCCCCAAGTGGAAAATACACTAGTGGACTAGCCTCCAGTGTTTCCTCGGCCGACCTGAGCGAATGGAAGATCAGGTAGCCCAGGCTGGCAGGGCGAGGAGATGCCAGCCTCATGGCCCAAGAACGGATTTCCTGTTGAGAGGAAGCTGGGGTTCACCCAAGCTCTGATTCACCTTCCCCACGAGTCTGGCATCAACAAAACCCTCATGGGACCATTCTCACCAGCTGGGCCTCAGTCTCCATTTCTGTACTATTAGATGGAAAATCTTCCCATACATGCCCACACCTCCTTGTCCTAGAGGTCATTTATAGTAGAAGGAAGCAAGAGAAACGTCCTTGTAGAGGCAAGGGACTTCCCTGGTGCGGGGGGTGGGGGTGGGGTGGCACTCACTGGCTCCGATCACCTGCAGGGAGGAGGTACACCACAGTGAGCACCTGCTGAGCATTGAGTCGGGCTCTGGCTAAATAGCTTAGTGTCCCTGTCTTACAAGTGAGGCTTACAGAAGCTGGAAGGTATGTCTGGGCCCTGGGTAATACATTGCAGAGTTGGGGTGCAGCTCCCCCTCACTACCTTGCAGGAACCCAAGGGGTTCCCTCAGCCCCTGTTTCGGAGCACTTATAATCTAGCGGGCGCTCAGTAAGCCCTTCGTGAATGTGGGCTCTCTTAGTGGGCGAAGCCAGGGCATGTATATTGGAAGATGAATAGCTACGCAGGGCTGTGTATGCTCGGTGCCAAGGCAGGGTCGTTGGGTTTCTAGAGGGGGATGGTCATTATGGCCAGGGTGCCTCCCTGGCCGGGGGGTCTTGACAGATTTAGACCCCTTCTGACTGGGACCTGCTAATTTCTCACTGGGAGCAGTTAGCCAAGGCACAGAGTTGGGTGAGAGCAGGGGTTACCGTGGGTGCAGGTGGGTCAGAGCACAGGGTTCCAGCAGCCAGATTGGGAGGGGGACCCCATCCTGCCCTGCGGCCCCCTCTCCCTTCTTCCTCTGCTCCCCTCCAGCCTCCCCCATTCATGCAATGAGTGAGTAACAGGAAGGAGCCATTGGCCTGCTGGTAATGCCATTAGTAAGCCCGTGGGGAAAGGGGAAGTGGGGAGGGGAGGGGAAAAGTGAGCCATCCCAGCCCCCCCAGACCAGAAGTTGGCAACAGCTGTAGCCAGCCTGCACTGCGTCTGCCCTGGGCCCTGTCCTGTGCCCTCTGGAGTCTGGCAGATCGGAAGCACTGAGGCATTTTTGAGGAGCACCAATTTCTGGGCCTTCCCCCACACCTCCCGAGTAAGAATGTCTGTGAGAGAAACTCTGGAATCTATACTTGTAAAAAGTTCAGCCCCTCCCCTATTAGGCCCTGGTCAGGTAGTTTATAGAGGCTGTGACCCACCCTGATCTGGGTGCCACAGGGGGGTGTCACCAAGGGGCCGCATCAGCTGTGAATGAACCAGGCACCCCCAAAAAGTGCTGTTTCTTTTAAGGTGAAGTTCTATACTTATCAACAGCTCTGTTTTGAAAAGCCTTTTAGTGGTTCACTATGTGAATTTTCCAGGAGGCTTTGGAACATCTGGGGCGTGTTCTTTCTTTTAAGTCATGAGTTTAAATGGAAAAGATAGAAATTCTTAGACAAGCAGGAGGGAAATGTCCATTGCATGCAGGGCAGGGTCCAGGCCCACGTCCTGTCCGAGGCCTGAGCGGAGCCCCGGGTGGGCTGGGAGGGGGGCCCCGCCCACTCCAGCTGGTCCCCATCCTCCTGCCCTTTCAGGATGTGAAGATCTTCCGAGCCCTGATCCTGGGGGAACTGGAGAAGGGGCAGAGTCAGTTCCAGGCACTCTGCTTTGTCACCCGGCTGCACCACAATGAGATCATCCCCAGTGAGGCCATGGCCAAGCTTCGACAGGTGAGTGCTTGCCTCAGGCCTGCCCCGGCCCAGCTCCTGCCCCAGAGGCCCCAGCCCTGCAGCCAGCCTGGCTCCAAGCCTGAACCCTACCCCAACCTCGGTCTCCCACCCAGCACTTGACCCATCCTGGCCCTCATCCCTGGCACTCCACTCTCACCCTGTACTCCCCATCCCCCTGATTTTGCCCCAGACCAAATCTAACCCCAACACCCCAGATCGCTAATCTGCATGGACCCCCAACCCTAATCTCAGCTCCTCCCCCTTTATGGTGGAGGCTGGGGGCTTGGACTCTGAGGTCAGACCTGCCTTCAGCCCCAGCAACACCACTCCTCATCCAGGTGACATTGCAGGAGCGACCTCGCCTGCAAAGCCTCTCTTTTCTTATTGAGAAATGAGAATTTCTGGGAATTAAATGAGCGAACACATGTGGTGTTCAGAACGCTTCAGCCTGTTGGCCCGTGCCCCGTCCCTTCCTGGACCCTGGGCCTCTCCCCAGCCTCACCTAAGTTCCCTAAACTCTCCAGCCCGGCCTGCTCCTGGCCCTTCCCAGAGACCCTGTTCCCTGCATGTTGGAAAGTCTAGGACCGCAGAGGTTATCTGCCCTGGGACAGCTTGCCTGGTTGCCCACCAACACCACCCCCAGCCACTGTCAGAATTCCCCATCAGCCTCAGACATCAGCCAGCGACCAGCTGGAAAGGCTTGGCTGTGCCCTGTGCCCCGTAGCTGCTCCGGGTCCACTGCGCTCTCCCCGCTGCTGACCCTGCCTCTCTCCACCAGTTAGAGGGGACGCTTAGTGGCCCTTGCCTGCCAGCCTGCTCCAGGCAACCTGCCTCGGCTGGACTGACACTCAGGCATCAGGCGAGGGATGGGCCTAGAACATTCTGGGGCCAGGTGGGAGCGGCTCTTCCTCTCCACACAGAAGAATCCACAGGCGGTGAGGCAGGCGGAGGAGGTGCGGGGCCTGGAGCACTTGCACATGGACGTCGCCGTCAACTTCAGCCAGGGGGGCCTGCTGAGTCCCCATCTCCACAATGTGTGTGCCGAGGCCACTGATAGCATCTACACCCGCCAGGAGGACGTCCGGTTCTGGCTGGAGCAAGGTCAGCGGGGTGCCACCCATGGCGGCATCACATGGCCCGTGATAGAGTCATGACATATGGGAGTTCAGAGGAGGGACCCCTAAACCGGGCTGGGATTGGTCAGGGCAGGCTTCCTGGAGGAAGGGGTGCCTGTGTGACTCTTCAGTGAGAGGAGTCAGCCAGATGAAAGCGACCCTTTCTGGGTAGACACACAGAACTGTGACTTGCTAGGCCCCGTGGAGGGAGATACCCAGGCAGCACCTACCTCGTTCCTTCCCTTAGTGAGAACACAGGTGGGACCTCCGTCATGGAGGGAGGCCCAGGTAGCAGGGTCCCGGTGGGGCCCAAAGACACCTGTTCCTACCCGCCCACGTCTGCCACGCCCCTTGGAAGTCAGCGCCTCTCCTTTCTTCCGTGCCTCCCCTGGTGCCAGCATCTCTCCCCCATGATCCTGAGGGGCCCCCCATCTCTGTGTGCCCCCTGCCTTTTGGCCTGTGTGGCTTTACTGCTGGCATACCTCCAGACATGGTTCCCAGGACTGTCCTCAGATCCTCCGTGGAGAGGGCACAGGGAGATGGCGCGGTTACCAGTCCAGGTCCCTTGTCCTGCCCAGCCAGCTGAGCAATAGTCAAGTGCCTGCCCCTCCCACGGCACCCCTGGATTTCGAAATGCCCAACAGAGCTGTGGTCCTGCCCTCCACACACAGCCCTCCCCGGTGAGCTGCACCCCACACTGCGGTGCAAGTCTGATACTGTCCCCACCCCACCCCCGAGGCCGCTCCCTCCCGTGGCCACTGAGCCGAGCCAGAGACCAGGCCACTGCCATCTCCTTCCAGCACCCCCGCGTGTGCCCTGGCCACGCTGCCATCCGGCACGTTCGTGCTGGCCGTCCTCACAACCACCTCCTTGAAGCAGCTGTCCTTGACTTCCTACTCATTCCGTTGCATTCCAGTACAGCGATGTGTCTAAGCGCGGGCGGCAGCGTGGGCCACGTGGAGGCCTTGAAGTCAGACAGCCCAGGTTCCGTTCTCACTCCGTCCTTACTCTTCGACCTCAGGGAGATCGCTCCACCCCTCCGGGCCCAGACTTAGCTGCTAGGGTTGACGGGAGGCCATGTGGGGTACAGGGCGGGGGAGCTCCTACTCTCTCCCTGCCGCTGACCCTGCCTCTCTCCGCCAGGTGTGGACAGCTCCGTGTTTGAGGCTCTGCCCGAGGCCTCGGAGCCGATGCACTGCGGGCAGGTGGCGGACGGCGGGAAGCCGTGTGTCTGTCGCTACGGCCTGAGCCTGGCCTGGTACCCCTGCCTGCTCAAATACTGCCACAGCCGCGACCGGCCGGCCCCCTACAAGTGCGGCATCCGCAGCTGCCAGAAGAGCTACACTTTCGACTTCTATGTGCCCCAGAAGCAGCTGTGTCTCTGGGACGAGGAGCCCTAGCCGGGGCCGGGGCGCAGGCGGTGGTCCTTGACGTAGCTGCTCCGGGTCCACCATGCTTCCCCCAGCCCCCAGAGGGGGTGGCAGCACCCCCTCCCCCACTGAGGCCTTATTTCCTTTCTCCCTTCTTCCCCGGAGCCTCTGGCCCCATCATGCAAGACTGTGAACAGGGGTGTGGCACGGCAGGGGTTAACTCGTGAAGGCAGCCCCCCGGCCCCCCCCAGCCTGTGCCTCCCTTGGGGACAGAGGGAAGGGGGCTCAGATTTGCCCCCTCCCCTTAGTCTCCCCTCAAGTGTTCTCTTTCAAGCAACCAAAATGTGATGGCCTGTGATTCTATTGAACTCTTTGAAGGCTTAGACCCTAGAAGGTGTCTATGCCTGTGACACCGACCTCCCCACCACACACACACCACCCCACCCCCCGACTCGCCCGTCTGGAGTGAGCCGGCCCCTCTGCACCATCGAATGCCCAATAAGGAGGGGATCCCTGCCCCAGAGAGGGGGCTGTTGGGGACCGTTGCCATAGCCCCTACACCAGATCACAGTGCATTCTTGTCATTGCTGGCCTCCAACGCTGGGGCAGGTGAGGACCTCCCAGCCCTGAGACAAAACCACGCGTGCCTTTCCCCAGACCCAGACTCTGTCGAGACAGCAGGCAGTAGCGTGCCCCCTCTAAATGGAAATATTTTTGTAAGGCTCTGGGGCAGGGAGGGAGCATGAAGTATGAGGAAAACTTGAATTCCAGATTTTTAATGCAAAGTATTTATCATTTGTACCAGAAATAAAAGTTTAAATTTTTATTTGACTGACAGCGCCCGATGCAGAGTTCTGAGAGAACTCTTGGCCAATGCTGCCACCTGGTGTCGGAAGGGTTCCATTACTCTACCGGTGACCCGGCTTGGGACACCTTCTAAAGCACCTGCTGTGTGCTCAGCCATTGTGCAGCGGGGAGGGGAGAGGATCGAGGGGGGGGGGTGCATATTAGGGAAGGATAAGACAAAACTGCACTTAAGAAGAAGAGACATACATAGATGAGCAAGTCAGACAGTAATCAGCATAAGCTAGATTAAGGCAAGAAATAAGGCATAAACTCCAGAACCAGACTTCCAGGGTTCAAATCCTGGCCTTGCTTCTTATTTCCTGTGCAGTCTTGGGTCAAGTTACTTTACTTTACCTCTCTGTGCCTCAGCTCTCTCAGCTATAAAATGAGCTTAACTGTGAGACTGACGTGGGTTCATACACGTGGAGTGCCCAGCACATAGTGCTCACTGTATTCGCTGTTAGTAATATCATTAGGGAAAAGGGCAGACATTTCCTCACCTGTAAACCTGAGACAGCTAAACCAGACCTCTTGAAGGCCTCTTTGCATCATAAGTACCTTCCAGTATAAAGAGAGGAGATTGCTTGGAGAAGGCACCTCCCACTTCCCACCTTATATGTGCCTTTATTTGCTGTGGGTGGGCTCCCCAGGTCATCTACCTTTCTTACTCACTTTCAAATGGCCAAAAATAAGGCTGTTTTTTGAAGAGTGCTTTTCTAATCTTCCTTGGGAATGACTAGCACCTCCCAGCCTGCCTGTCCCCTGCCATGAGAGGGCTTCTGGACCCTGTCACCACAGACTACCCTGCCTGGTCTTAGGGCATGGGGATGAGAATTAAGATTCCCCGAGACTTTGGGCTGATGTCACACTCAGGCAAAGCCCACACTCCCCCTCATTCCAAGCGACCCTCCCCCCTCCCTCCCCACCACAGTCACTTGTCTGGCAAGGGTCTCAGGGTTCTGTGTACCTCAGAATCACTCAGGAGCGCAGCTCATTAAATACATGTCCAGGGTCAGCTATTTGAGAAACACCCGGATAAGGCTTTATTTTCCTAAAGAGGCCTTTGTGCACTGTGAAAAAACTACGGGGAGGTAACGTATCTACAAGGAACGCTCATTTCTCTGGTGCTTCCGAGTTGACGAAGCGCCTTCATATCAATTAGCTCATCGGCTCCTTGTAGCAATTCTGCAACACTTTATGGATGTGGCTCACCAGTAAAATTATGTGACTTGCCCAAGGTCAGACAGCTAGTTAGAGCGCCCTTGGGATCCAACCCTCAGCCTTCTTACTCCACACATACCTACTAACCCTAATGGGTTTATCAGTCTGGCCCCCTAGAACCCTAGAGAGCACAGCTCACCCATGGGGTGGGGAGAGGGGGCGCAGTACGAGGCGTGCAGCCCCCACTGGGGGGGGCAGTCCTGCAGTAGCAAGCACTGAATATATGGGGGTACGCACACCGGTCCCCTGCGACTACAGTAGGCAGGAGCAGGCTCCTGCTTGTTCCCTTTGGCCAAGGTAAGCAGGGCTCTGGGTGGGAGGCCGGGACCCTGGGCCTCATGGAAGCCTCTTCAGGCCAGAGAGCCGCAAGTGGTACCAGGTACTCCCTGGCAGGATCACCCCAACCTGGGCTGGGCCTTGCCGTATGTTCCATGGGTTTTCTTCAGGTTCCTCTCTCTGCAACCTTAAGTCAACGAAAGTCTTGCCCTAGAACCTAGATATGATTTGAGCCACCAAGGAGCCTGGCAAAAAATAGGGCAAGGACTGCTCCTAAGAAGCAAAGCTTGAAGGTAACAACGCCTGTAAGGAATGGGGGTACCGGCCTCGTCCGAGCTGTGTGCAATCTGGGGTAGGTCACCCCCGTCGCCAGCCCCCAGTTCCTCATCTGTGAAGAGGCGGTCGCCTCGAAGTGCTTCCAGGCCCGGCGATCGGTGTGTCCTTGCTGGCTGGCATTCTCCCTCGTATTGTTAGGCATGTGGCACTGGTGGACAGTCAAATTGTCCGTGACTGGCTCTTCCAAGCCATGCTGTAGAGAAATGCTAAACATGGAGCGTTGCAAAGCCTAGTACTTGGTAGAGACTGACAAACTGCCCTCCAGATGGGGCCGTCCCAGTTTACACCCTCACCAGCAAGTGCATGAGAGGCCCGTTTTCCCACATTCCTGCTGCATCAGTCGGGGTTCTCTAGAGAAAGAGAACCAATTAGGATACACACACAGAGAGATTTATAGTAAGGAATTAGTTCACGTGATTGTGGGGTCTAGAAAGTCCAAAATGCTGGCAGCTTAGGCAAAAGCGGATGTTGCCGTCCTGAGTCTGAAATCTGCAGGGCAGGTCAATTGTCTGGAAATTCAGACAGGATTTCTGTTACAGTCTTGAGGCAAAATTCCTTCTTGGGGGAACCTCCTTTTGCTCTCAAGGTCTTCAACTGATTGGATGAGGCCCGCCCACATTATCAAGGGCAATCTCTCTAAAGCCAACTGATTGTAGATGTTAATCACATCCACAAAAATACCTTCACAGCAGCATCTGGACTTGTGTTAGACCAAACAACTGGGCACCATGGCCTAGTCAAACTGACGTGTGAAATGAACCATCACACCTGCTATCACTTGATCTTAGTGTACGGTGTTGGCCATTTTGACCTTGAGAAACGTTAAATAAAGCATTCTGGGGTTTCCTCTCAGATCTCAACTATTGACTAAAGCCAGGTAACAGGTAGCTCTGCTGGTTGTTCCGGTTTGCGCCCCCCCCCCATTCATTCCCTACATTCCTCTGCTCTGCTCTGCGCCCCAGGACACCAACCTGTGGATGGCCTCACCTGGGCCCCTTTACCTCGGGCTCAGCCAGTGAGAAGCGCCAGAGATCAGAGGGCAGGACGAGAGGAATTTCCAGGCATATATCCCTGCTCCTTGCTGCTTCTGGACCACACCTCTGCGCTGGCTTCTTTCCTCCAAGCTCCAGACCTCCTTGGGCTCCTAGACCACGATTTCCTCCTCCTGCCTCTTCAGCCCCAGCCTCTCCGCGTCCCGACTCCCTGGTTCCCTTAATCCTGCTCGCGCCTCCGCGAATCAGCAGCACCTGCATTAAAGGCGCTCCTCGCGTTGCGTTGATTCTGTTTCCCTGCAGAGACCCTGACTGCTCAGACGGCAGTCCAGGCTGGGGACCCAGAAGAATGGACAGTGGGAAGGAAGAAAGCAAAAGGGAGGTGAAGGAAAACACAGGCTCACGTGGCAGGGACTCAGTGCATCCCTTCTCCTTGGAGAAGAGCCTGGCCTCGGCGGGGAGTGGGGTTCGGATGGAGTGAGGGAATGAAGACGCATCACAAACTACCTCAGACCCCGGGCCCGGCGGGTGTGGTGCCCACCTCCCCTGCGGTGCCCCGCTGCCCGCCTCGGCCGTGGCTCCGGCTATGGGTCGGGCTGAGGGAATGTCCTGACTCCCGAGCAGGGAGAGGTGGGAGGAGGGGCTGCTCCATTCGTGGCTCCCCTTCTCCTGTGTCATGGGAAGCGGGCACAGACTACCACATCTCTGCTGGGCATGCAGGACCACAGGCCTTTCCCGATCCCCTCCTGCCGTGATGGTGCGGGAGGTGCCCCCCTCTCCCCAGACCCCAGGGCTCCGAATGCCAGCCCTCCCCCGCTCCTCCCTGGGGAAACTGTCCCCTGGCTCTCTCCCACTTCTCTTTCCTGCCTTCTTCCCATGAGCCCTGAGAGGATTTAAATCTTTCCCACCTCAAAAACAGAATAACACCTCATCCCCAGGTCCCTCTCCACCTCTGCCCCATTCCTCCGCGGGTCCTCAAGTCATGCTTCTTGCCAACACCCTCTTCCTCGGCAATTCCCAACCTCGCTGCCTCGACCCAAGGTTGTGCTGCAGTCCGCAGTAGCAAGATGTCTGTTCCTGACACCGGTGAACTCCTCCCACTCACTCAGGCCCTCCCTCACCCGGGCTTTCCCGCTTCTGGTGCTCTGCGATGTCGCCTCCGTGGCTTCAGGGACTCCGGGGTCCCACTCACCTGCAGGCCTTCGCTGGTACTGCTGACGCCCGCTCCCACTTCCTTCCCCTCTGCCGGGGGTCCCAGCTCGGAAGCTGGTCCTCGAAGAAGCTCTTCCTGGTGCCCACCCCCAGATTTCGGTAGGTCATGCTCCATAGCAGGCCCCCACAGCACCCCTCCATTTTTCAGTTAGAGGACATGCTCCAGTATCAGGGACTTGCCTT